TAGCTCTGTCACCCAGGTTAGAGTGCAGTGGCATCATCATAGCTCACCATAACCTCAAACTCCTGGGCTTAAGCGATCCTCCTGCCTCAGCCTCCTGAGTAGCTGGGACTGCAGGCATGCACTACCATGCCTGGTTAATTTTTCTATTTTTTGTAGAAAAGGGATCTTGCTCTTGCTCAGGCTGGTCTTGAACTCCTGAGCACAAGTGATCCTCCTGCCTCAGCCACCCAGAGTGCTAGGATTACAGCACCCAGCCTATTTCATGACTTTAAATACCATCTATACATCTTGAGTCCTAAATTTTTGTCTCAGCCTACATCTCTTCCCTGAGCCCCAGATTTGGAAATCTTACTGCCTCCATCTCTACTCAGTATCTCCACCTGGTTGTCTGACAGGGTATCGCAAAGTTAAGATGTCCAAAGCAACTGATTTCTCTCCCAGTCTTGCACCACCACCCCATAGACTTTACTGTCTTAATTAAGGGTACCTCCATTTGCCCAGCTGCCCAGGCCAGAAACCTTGAGTCATCTTGGACACCTCTCATTCTCCAATCCCACATCCAACCCATCAACAAGTCCTGCTTTAGCCTCAGAACGTAGCCAGATTCTAACCACTTCTTGCCACCTCCACTGCTACCACTGTGGTCCACGACACCATCATCTCTTACCTAGACTACTGCAACGGTCACCTAACTGATCCTCATGCTTGCATCTTGTGTGGAGGGCTCTCCACACAGCAGCCGGAGTCAGACTTTCACTCTCTGCTGAGACATTTCCAATGGCTTCCCATCTCTTTCAGTCCTTTCACTCCTTTAAAAGGCCTACTCCAAGGCCTGTGTTACCTCTGACCAAACATTTGACCACTCACCCACTTGCCACCCTATTTCAACCCAGTGGCCTCCTTGCTTTTCTTGTGACACATCAAGCAAACTTCTACCTCAAGATATTTGCACCTGCTACCCTCCTGACCACAGTACTCTTCCCTGGGTGTCCACATGGCTCTCTTTCTTCCTTCCTTCAACTCCTGCTCAGTGAATCCTTCCCTTGGAACTTAGTATCCCTTCTGTGGTAGTTTTAAACACCTCCACAAAATATTCAATCCTCCTCCCTTCAAGAGTCGAAGTCTGATTTTCTTCCCCTTGAGTGTGGGGCTAGACTTAGTTATGCAGTTTAACAAATAATATATGGCAGAAGGGACAGTGTGTGACTTCCAGGACTAGGCCATAAAATACATTGCTGCCTCGTTAGTCTCTCTTTCTTGGATCATTCGGGAAAGCCAACTGCCATGTTGGGAGAACATGCAAGTGATCCTATGGAAAGGCCCACGTAGGGAGAAACATCTGCTAATAACCATGTAAGTGAGCCATCTTGGAAGTTGATCCTCCAGTCTCAGTCAAGCCTTCAGGTGACTCCAGCCCTAGCCACCATTTTTACTACAACCTCATAAGAGACAATAAATCAGAACCATTCAGCTAAGCCGCTCAAATTCCTGACCCACAAAATTGTGAGAAAAATACATGTTTGTTGTTTTCAGCTGCTAAATTTTGGGGTGATTTGTTACACAGCAATAGATAACTAATACACCCTTTCCTTTCAATTCCCCCCAGCGCAGCTACATTTTTCTCCATGGCATTTATCCCCTTCTGACACACTATGTATTTCCCCCACTAGAATTATACCATTATAAGAGGAACTGTGTTTCATTTACCCCTGTGTCCAACAGTGCCTGGCATAAAGTAGGTACTCAATAATATGTGTTGGATGAATGAAGCACTGGCCTCTGGAGGTCTAGGTCTGTCTCTCATTGTCTCTGTGAGGTGTAGGACCAGACTATGTGTGGGTATGAGAGGTGGCCTTTCCTTTCCACAGATGAAGAGGGAGAAACTGGATCCTAGACAGCTTATTCCTTCTCCGCCCTTCCCAGTTGTAGCTCCCAGATCTCAAAGGTAGGTTTACTTTGCTTGCTTGATTGGGGGTGGGTAACTGCCCAGCCCCTTACCCCTCTCCTCCCTCAACCCAAACCCTGCCAAGCAACGTCCAAACCATCAGAACTGTAACTTCCCCAAGCCAACTCCTATCTTTCCAGGAAGAATGTTACCATCTGTCTGCAGACACCTCCTCTGAGCAGCCAGGGGAAATTGTGTAGGGGGGAAGGGAACAGGTGGGGCACAGGAGTTCTGCAGATGGCTAGCCTCTGCCCTCTAGTCCTCAAGTAGACCCCCAGGGCATGTCTGTCTGCACATGCACACTCGCTGATTCTCCCTTCTGTGGGCACTGCATAGGGGAGAGGAGGTGGACAAAGAAGGACGCTTGACTATGCCCCAGGAGACTCACACCAAACAAAGCCATGGGGAAGGGGACCTAAGTACTGAAGGTGGTTGTATCACTGAGATTTCTAGGGGGTGGGGGGTTCTGACAGGCTGTGAGGCCTGAAAACTGAGGTGGAGGACTCTGGGGTATGAGTAGGGCTTAGCCTCAGTGTGGCCAAGGATGAGCCATAGAGCATAAGGAGTGCTGCAGTGGGAGCTGGGCCCTGGAGAAGGTTGGAGGCTGGGGGCAGGGCTTGCAGGGCGAGGCACCCATCACTACCACCATGAGAGCCTGGTCAGAGGAGCTGATGGTCTGACCCAGAGCAATCTGGGGCTGAGAGGAAGGGACTGATTGGGAGAGGAGCAGCTAGAAGGCAAAGGTCACATCTGGATTCCTGCCTTCTGGAGGAATCAAGCTCTGGGGCATGTGTGCCTCACTGGGTGTAATAAGGCCAGAGGATCATTCTTGGTGCCACAGGGTTTGACATCGTTTCATACCCATGCCAGGGGTCACCCCTACAGACACCTGCTGTTCACTGACACACTTGGCATCATCTCAGGTGGCCCTCATGCATTTGGTAGGTAGGTCCCCTTGGGCACAGGGAAGAAAGTGGGGAAGTATAAGGATGCCTGAGAGGAGTGGGGTCCAGGCCACTCAGAGCAGAAATCTTGAGAGGCCTGCTACTCAGGACCCCCAAATAAGGAACAGCATGTCAGCATCTGGGGGATAGTTGGGAGTTTGGTAGGCCCAAAGCAGTTGGCTGAGGGGGTCAGGGGATAGAGATTTAGGAGTCAGGCACACATGGGCAGAGAATGTATGAAAAAGGGCAAAATGCTGATCACTGTGGAAACAAACTGGTGATGAGTACCAGAGGTTCATTACACTATTCACTCTTCTATGTTTGGAAATGTCCATAACAGAGTGTCAAGAGATAAAAAAACTCTGCACATTCGGCTGTGTGTCTGCATGTGGTATGTGTACCCTGCTACGGGTGTGCAGTTAGCTCAGAGCCCTCTTGAGTGTGTGAATGCACTGGCGTGGGGCCACCACCATGTGCACGCATGTGTGCAAACTGGAGCACACATTCAGTTGGGGACAGCACATGGGCAGGGCAAGGGGAGATGCTTCTGTTCTGGCTGAGCCCTCCACACTCACCTCAGCATCCTGAGGAGTGATTCCTGTCATGATCACAGCTGGCCCAAGCCACTGACACTGTAGTGATCACATAACCACTGTGAGACAGGCAGCTGTGTGCCTGAACTTGTGACAATGTGTGTTGGTGTGTGAATGCGGCTGTTAGTGTGTGAATGCCCCGTACTGAGTGTGGGTGAGCGGGACAGGACTTGTGAGGCTGGGTGGGGCTCAGGTCAGAGTCCAGTGGCGTTGGACACCTCACTCTCCTTCGGATCATTCCCCAAAGGTCTCCAGCCCCCCCTCCCCCCGAAACTGGCTGTAAGGAAGGTGGGAGACACCTGTTGGGGGCTGACAGCGGCAGAGCCCCCGCGCCCCCGCCCGCCCTGCCGAGCTCTGGCCCGCCCCCGCAGCCGCTGCCAGCAGAGCGGCTAGTGAGCGCACGGTGGCCAGAGTAGCGCCAGGCGGCTGGAGCGCACGGCGGGGGACCCAGTTCAGGGAACCAAGCCGAGGCAGGGGCCGCCTGGGAGGCGGGTGGAGCAGAGGCAGCGCCGTGGAGACGCCGGGGGCAGCGGGCCACGCCAGGCAGGTGAGTGCGGTCCCTGGAAGGCAGCCCGACGTTGAGATCCCGCCACCTCCCACCGGTCAGGTCCGGTGCCGGTCCCAAGCTCTGTCCCACCGCCCTCTATTCCCCTGACTCCTTGGTTCTTGTCCTCTGCCTCTCTGCCCTCTCCTGTTTTTCTCTGTCCCTATCTCTGTCTGTCCCCGTCTATTTACTATCTCTTTCTAATCTCTCTTCTGTCTCTGTCTCCTACTGCGTCAGTCTTTCCCTGTGTCTCTCAACCCCCATCTCACTATTTGTCTCTTTCCTCCTCTGTCTCTCTGTCTCTGTCCCTCTCTGGGTTGCCTGTCACTTAGGTCTTTGATATTTATTTCTTGCTCCTCCATCTCTCTTACCCTCTCTGTCTCTCCCCTCAATATTTCTATCAATTTCATCTTTCTCCATCTCTGTCTCTTCACCCTGTCTCTACCTGACATCTCTGTCTCTCTCTACCTTGGTCCCTCTCAGTCTCTGCCTCTCACCACCTCTGTCTCTCCTGGTCACTCTGTCCCATCTCTATTTCTATATCTCCCAGTCATTCTCTCTCTCACTCTCTCTCTCTCTGGACTCTCTCTCTCTCTCATTCCCCCACTCCCTCCCTCCCTCTCCTCACCTATGTCCCCCATCTCTCTCTGTCTCTTGGCCCCTGTCACCCTCTCTGATCTGCTCAGTCTCTCCCTGTCCTCTGTCAATGGCCATTTCTGATTCCCTTGGTCTGTCTCTGTCTCTCCTGCTCTTTCTATCTCTCTGTCTCTGTCAGTCTCTGGGAAAGCTCTTTCTGCCTTTCCTTATGACCTTCAGCGCTCCCTGAATTCATGACCACCTCCCCTTGTTTTGGGGGTTGTGGGAGCAGTAAAACCCAGAACCCATAATTCCCTCCCCCACAGGCGGCCCTTTCCTCAGGGCCCCGCCTGGTACCAGGGCACCCCCCAGCTGGGGGACTGCGCCTGGAAGCTGTGATGGAGGCTCTGCAGAGACAGCAGGCAGCTCGGCTGGCGCAAGGGGTGGGGCCGTTGGCCCCCCCTCCACGCCCGTTGCTGCCACCGCGGCCTCCCCTGCCTGGCCCCAGAACCCTACAGGCCCCTGAGGGGACCTTGGGGAATGTTGGGGCTGAGGAAGAGGAGGATGCTGAAGAAGATGAGGAGGGGGAGGAAGCCGGGGCAGAGGAGGAGGCTGCTGAGGAGAGCCGTCCAGGGGCCCGGGGTCCCAGCTCGCCTTCCAGCCAGGCTCCTGGACCCCATCCCCACGAGTGGACCTACGAGGAACAGTTCAAGCAGGTAGGACCCCCTCGATGTCATGCCCTCCCCCCTTCCTCCCCTCTGGGCAAAAACAGTGCCAAGTGCTTAGCAGCCCACCCACTCCCAGTGCCCTATATAAGATGGAGACACAAACACACAGAGACCTAGAGAGAGACAGTGAGAGGACTGAAAATTAGTGACAGGGAGGGAGAGACAGACACCCAGATACACAGAAAAAAGTGCAGAGGGACACACTAAGAGGTGCACGAGACGCCCAGAAACATGGAGACCGACAGACAGTCTAGAAGGCATTGGTGGGGCTGGAAGGAGAGGTGGGAGGGGTGTAGGGGCGTCTAGGAGTGGGGATTCCAGTGCCAGCAGCACCCCAACTACTGTCTCACACATCAAGTCACACGGTCATATTCTAGGGACCAGTGGGTGTGCCCTGGGCTGTCTACCTCTGTCTTTGGGGGGAGAATAGAGGTTGCCACCCCCTTGACTGGCTGGTACACTCCTCTCTTTCCTGTCATACCACAAGCCCCACAAACCAAATCTTCTCCCTGGCCTGAGTTCCATAGATGACAGTTCCCAGCCAGTAATGGCCACCACAGCCGCAATATGACTAAAGAGCTCCTCTGCAACTGGGAATGACAAGACCTTACTCACGGGGCCTTAATCTGAGTTTTTTTCTCCCTGGGGAACCCTTCTGGGTGTTATTCTAAGGACACCATTCAAGGCTGTCACTTTGAAGTTATTATGCCTGGTTGTGACTCCAGATGTGCTATTCAGGTGGTGTTAACTCATAGGGTGTTGATGGTGGGTATTTTCCAGAAGTGTTAATCTGTGGCTAGTACTCCATGGCATTAGTATAAATTGGGAGTGTTTCTCAGGACTGTTACTCTGGAAATGTGGCTCTACAGATTGTTTCTCCTGGGTGTAATTCTGGGGCTTATTACTTGGAGAGTGTGTCTATTATTTGTGGGTATCCATCTAAGGCTTAGGGCTCATATTTTGTGCAAATGTGGATATCTGGGATTTGTTATTCATTGTTGTGTGTGTGTGTGTGTGTGTATGTGTGTGTTTTACTCTGAGAGTTCCTATTGGGGGATGGAGTGTTGCCTATGAGTGTTACTCAGGGACTGTTAACTCTGGATCAGTGACTCTGGGGATTGTTCCTCTTGGGTGGTGTTTGGGAGCTGATACAGGAGGTGGGGCTCCAGTGACTGGGAAGGGGCGGGATGACTTGTGGGTCCTTCAAGTCCTGATCCCACGGGTCCTGGGTGGCATAGTTCTCTGTGGCAGTGTCCCTGTGGCAGCTCCTGTGATAGGCAGGATAACTGCCTATGGAAGATCAGACCAGAAGGTGGGCTGAGGGGCCCCAGATGTCAATGTAGGAGCTTCTGAGCACCCACCCTGCCTGAGAGATGGGTTAGAAGCATCTCTGCTCCTCATCCACTCCCAGTCCTGGCACACAGGGATGTGAACAGAATGGAGCCCTTGCACGAATGAATGAGAGCCTCAGATATAACTGTTAGTCTCCTCAGTATGGAACACAAGCCCAGCCTGGCTTCCTTCCTGGGACTCTGAATGTCCCCTTAGGGTGGGGGAAGACCCAGTCCTGGAGGACAGGTTGAGCCTCCCCAGATCCTTCCTGCTTCCTCTCTTTCCTTATGCCCTAGATGGGTGGTTTGAGCTGCCAGGGTACCACTAGTACTGGTCTCTGTACACATTAGAAAAAGGCACCCCTACCTGCACACAGGGCGAGAGAGCCTAATGCTGATGTCAGGGAGTCCACATTCAGACCCTACACACCCCTTCAGCTAGGGACCCTTGTTCAGGACACAACCTGAATTGGGGTCCAGGGGGGGTGGTCACTGGAACTGGAGAATCACCCCAATCCTTCCCCAGCTGTATGAGCTCGATGCAGACCCCAAGAGGAAGGAATTTCTGGACGACCTGTTTAGCTTCATGCAAAAGAGGGGTGAGTGGGGTGATGTGGGGGGAAAGGATCCCAGAATTGCCCCCACTTACCAGGTTTGAGGAAACTAGGTTGGGTTCTCCCTGCAGAGGCCTTAGCTTGGCAGCACCTGTCCTCTGGGCCCTCAATAGCGTCTTTAACCTCTGACCCTGCCCCCCTCCTCCACCCCAGGATTAATTAGTGGCCAGCCCACTGGCAGGTTAATGAGTGTGGGATCAATTGGGAGGGTGGAAGGAGGAACTGGTTGGGGGGTGGCCTGGGGTGGGAGGGTCCCAGGACTAGAGGGGCTGGGAATGCCTTAGTTCTCCATCAAGGGCCTTCCTCCGGCCTTGGCTCTCCTCATTTTCCCCTTACTTCAGGCAGGGGACACCTCATGTGCTCTACAGCAGGAAGGACTGGGGTCAGACTGAAGGAAGGACTTCCCAAGGGGTGGGCTGGGGACTATGTGAGTTGGGGCTGTGGAGGAGCAGAAATTCCTTTCCAGGAATCTCAGAGAGCTGGAAGAGAATGCAGGAAGGGTCCAGGAGGGCATCACAGTGGGCGGCAGTCCATCACTTCAGCTTCTCCCCAGATTCATGGGACTGCACACTGACTCATTATCTCTCTCTACAAAGCTAATTAACTCACTCGGAGCGCGGCCCGATAAGCTGCTAATTAACTGGCTGCACTGCCCCCTCCCTTCCTTAGTGCAGCTGCTGGCCGAAGTCCCCTGGCCCTCACCCCAGGCTCAGTACCCCTTTCGGGTCCCTTCCTTCCCAGGGAACCTCGGTGGGCCTGAAGTTCTCTTGTTCCCCAGAAAGGCCCACTCATGCTGGTACCAGAGTCCCTTCCTCTGGCCCTTCCTCAAGGCCTCCTCTCCAGTGGCGGGGAGCGGGTGGGGGGTGGCGGAGAGCGGTGTGAACCGATCACAGCACTGCCTGCTCGCCCATTCCCCCCACCAGCTGGGCCTCGCTTCGGTCCCTGTCTCCCTCCGCTCCAGCTGCGGGGGGAGGGGGTCTCGCGGGGCCGATAATTTTCCCCCATTAATCAGGCCGCAGCTAATTGTTCGGGTCCAAAGGCGGCGGCGGAAGGGGACGGGATCGGTAAGGAATTAACTGGGGCCCATCGCTCAGCGCAGACAGGCCCCTTTGTCAGGGCTGGCCGACGGGGGCGGCGCGGGCGACGGAGTCGGCCGGCCGAGGCGCGAGCTGCTGCTTCTACTGCCCGCCATCCCCGAGCTCAGGCAGCCACCCGCGGGCTGCTGCTTCGGGGAGTCTGGCTCTTCAGCACTGTCCGGAAGTCCTTCCTACGGTCTACCCCAGGGGGCAGCAAACTAAAGCTAGAGGGCCAAACCCAGATAGTAGAGGGAAAAAATTAAAACACGAATAACGTTTCCAGAAGTGTGAAATTCGAATTTCAGTCCGTAAATAAAATCGTAGTGGAACACAGCCATGTCCATTACTTTAAGTATCCTCTATGGCTGCTTTCAGGCTACAATGGCAGAGTTGAGTAGTTGTGACAGAGTTCGTTTGGCCTAAAATATTAACCATCTGGCCCTTTGCAGAAGAAGTTTGCAGACCCCTGGTCTAGCTTCCTGTTCTTCCTGCTAAAATGGAGGCCCTGGGAGGTCTGGGCCTCTGCCTGTAATCCCACTTCCCCATTTCTCCCTCTTTCCCTCCCTCCCCGGTGCTCCCGCCCTGTACCCAGGCCTCGTGCAGGTATTCAATTCCTTCAGTCCCTGGGAATGCCCGCAGACCGTGCCTTAGTCTCAGTGTCCTGACCTTCTGCCTATTCCCCACCAGGGACGCCAGTGAACCGTGTGCCCATCATGGCCAAGCAGGTGCTGGACCTGTATGCGCTGTTTCGCCTGGTGACCGCTAAGGGCGGCCTGGTGGAAGTCATCAATCGCAAAGTGTGGCGGGAGGTCACGCGCGGCCTCAGCCTGCCCACCACCATCACCTCGGCCGCCTTCACTTTACGCACTCAGTGAGGCCAGGGGCGCGAGCGGAAGGGAAAGCGCGCGAGGGTGGGGGCAGGGAGAGGTGTGGAGGGTCCTGGGGCCGGCATCTGGGTGTGGGACTTGACTAGCTGGGCCCAGCCTCCCAAACTCTACCCACCACCTGTCCGCTCCTAGGTACATGAAGTACCTGTACCCGTACGAGTGCGAGACGCGGGCGCTCAGCTCCCCTGGGGAGCTCCAGGCCGCCATAGACAGCAATCGGCGCGAGGGCCGTCGCCAAGCTTACACTGCTGCCCCGCTCTTCGGCTTGACGGGACCGCCCCCTCGAGGAACTCAGGGACCAGCCTTGGGTCCTGGCCCCGCCCCTCCCGCTCCCCCACCCGGCCCCGGCCCCGCCCAGGGCTCCGCCTCCGGCCTGCCGGCGCATGCGTGCGCTCAGCTGAGCCCAAGCCCTATCAAGAAAGGTGCGAGGGGAGAGTGGCAGAGGTTTAGGAGTCTCTGAGGTCTAGGCGGACGCTGAGATATAGGAAACATTAAGATACGGGGACTCTGAGGTCTGGGAGGCATTGAGGTATGGGAGTAGTAAGAGGTCTGACAGGGCTCTGAGGTTTGGGAATTGCTAAGGTTTAGAGGCACTGAAGTTTGGGATCAATAAAGCCTTGAGAGGACGGTGCAGTGGCTCATGCCTGCAATCCTAGCACTTTGGGAGGCCGAGGCGGGAGGATCGCTTGAACTCAGGAGTTTGAGATTGCAGTGAGCTACGATGTCGCCACTGCACTCTAGCCCGGGGATAGAGTGAGACACTCTAAAGAAAAGCCTTGAGAGGTCTGGGGTACCTGTTACTGTAGTGTGAGGAGGAAGCTCAGGAAAAGGTTCTTTAATCACAGCAGCCCCATTCCACACCTGTCCACCCAGGACTCTTATTTGCATGTGGTTTGTGCCTCCTGTGATCTGGATTATTTAACAACCAAGAACAACAACAACAAAAATCCCCCAAATTCTCTTGGACCAACCTAGGCATATACCATTGGTCCTTGGGGCTCTATAGTTTCAGCCCCTCCAGGCTGAGGCTCTGGATGGAAAGAGAGATTGAATGAAGGATGAGAGATTGTGCACGAGCTTGGGTGACCTCTCTTGGTCCCAGGGCTGGGGGAGAACCAAATGCAGAGATGGATTGGTTGGGCCAGGGGAACTGAATGACCTGTTCTTCCAGAGGAGAGTGGAGTTCCAACCCCTCACCTGGCACTGCCTGTGGGCCTGGCCTTGGGACCTACACGGGAGAAGCTGGCACCAGAGGAGCCCCCAGAGAAGAGGGCTGTGCTGATGGGGCCTATGGACTCACCTCGACCTGGCATGCTCCCCAGTTTTCTGCCCCGTGGCAAGGTTCCCCTGAGGGGTGAGGAGTGGCTTGTTTTGAGGGGGCTTCAGGCCTGTACACCGAGGGAGGATAGACCCATCAACTGACATGTGTTGGGGTGGATCTGACAGATCCCTCTGTAGACAACTGTGTGATTACAGGTGTGGGGCTGAAGTGGAATGGGGGCTGTCTACAGGGATGGAGGGGGGCACTTCTAAGTCTGAAGTCTGATTCCCCAAAACATGACTCCTCTGCCCCCTCTTGGACAGAAGAGCAGCTGGATGGGCCTCTCAATCTGGCAGGCAGTGGCATCAGCAGTATCAACATGGCCCTAGAGATCAACGGGGTGGTCTACACTGGTATGGGTACTGTAGGCTGTCTACACTCGCATGGGGTCAGGGGTATTTAGACTGGCATGGGGATTTTAGACTTTCTCTACTAGCATGAGGTTCAGGGTTATCTACATTTGCATGGGTAACATGGGGTTTGGGGGATTGCTACACTGGCGTGGGTTAAAGGGGATGTCTACATGGCATGGGGTCCAAGGCATGACCTCCCTGGCATGGGATGTCTGCCTTGTCGTGGGCTTATGTATCAGTGTAAATATTTCTTGTTTACCTGTTCAAGGGTATCTACATTGTCATAGGAGTCTCTCACTGACTCAAGGGGCTTGTCCTCATTGGTTTGTGGCAGGGGTATGTGTGTGGTGTTCCAGAAATCAGGATACTTACTTTTGTTCCCCTTTTCTGTTTCCATGCCCTACCCCCTCCTATTTGCCCTCTATCATCTCCTCATCCCTTTACCAGGTGTCCTCTTTGCCCGCCGCCAGCCTGTGCCAGCTTCCCAGGGCCCAACTGACCCTGCACCCCCACCCTCTACAGGGCCCCCTTCCAGCATCTTTCCCTAAAAGCTCCTACTCAGAACTAAGAGTCCCAGCCCCATTGCTGAGGGGGGAAGAGACCCCCCATCTTGATTCTTTCAGGGTGTCTACTCTGGGACCCAGCCCTGGGAGGTGACCTCCACCCCCCCATTCCACGTGGACTTGAAGCCAAAGGTTCTTTTGATGTTACATCTACCTCATTGTAAAGGGAGGACACTTCCTCCCCGGCCAATTCCAGCAGCATCTACCAAAGGTTTCTTTTCCCAGTAACCCCCATCATCTCCTCAGGTGCTTCCTGTGTCAATGTCATCTCTAGGATCCTGCCCCTTTGAGTCAGCCCTGCTTCTCTTCGGGAGCCAGGTGAAAGGCTGGGTTGGAGTATTGTGAAGGAGACATCCCTCAGGTCACATCTGGACAATAAAGCTGCGGTCCCTCCCTTTCCAATGCCTCCTCTTCTTGTTTGGGTCTGGGAGGTGGGGAGGAATGATGTGGCACATCGGCTGCGTTGGGCCAGGAGCTCTCACAGGGGAAGGCAGTATAGAGAAGCTCCCTGAGAATAGAAGAGCTCCATCTCTTCAATCAGACTAGCTGAGTTCAAGTCCTATTATAGTGACAATTCTGTCACTATAGTGCTGGGTAGCCTTGGGCAAATCATTTAATTTCTTAAATCTTAGAAGACTCCAAAAGTTTATGGCAACTCAGAGTCCCCTACTATCTATGGCTGTGGTCCCCAGTGGTCCGCGGCCTGTTAGGGCAGGGCTGCAGAGTTCCGCCTCCACCACCACCCCCCCGCCCCCGTGGAAAAACTGTCTTCCATGAAACTTAGGGAAGGGGATTCGCAAAGCAGGAGGTAAGGGAAGCTTCATCTGTATTTACAGCAGCTCCCTAACGCTTGTATCACCGCCTAAGCTCCGCCTCCCCCAACCCCCACCCCCTGCGGGGAAAAATTGTCTCCCATGAAACCGGTCCCTGGTACCAAAAAAGTTGGGGACGGCTGATCTGTGGGAATGGGCCTATTCTGGAACAGTAGGTGTATTTATACGTGCAAACTCAGGCAATGGGGTAAAGAAACCTCTTTGATACCGGAAGGCAAAGGTTGTCTTGACAACCGGGCGCTAGAAGCCAAGGAAGGGCCAGAACAGATAGATGTTGCCAAGGTAACCAGACAGTTTTTTTGACACCTTTCACCAGACCCCAGCGGCCACTTCCGGCACTGAAGGGCTGGATCGTGACGTCACTTCCTTCAAAGAAGGCCGCACGTGCGCTCGGATTGGTCGACCTTCCTGTTTGGACGGACGTCCCGCCCTCTGGCTGTTCCCCGGCTGAGGTGGGGCAGTGGTGGAGATGGCGGCTCTGACTGACGTGCAGCGGCTGCAGGCCCGAGTGGAGGAGCTGGAGCGCTGGGTGTACGGGCCGGGCGGGACACGCGGCTCGCGGAAGGTGAGAGGTCTGGTCCGGTGGTCCCTTTCTGGAGAAGAGCAAGAGCGGTCCACTGGTCCGGCCCTTGGGATGGATGCAACCGCTCCAGTCCTGTCGTCCGCAGTCCGGCCTTTGAAATAACAAAGGTCAGGGACCTCCCAGAGCCGATTGGACCCTCGGGGTCCATTCCTATGGGGGGATTTGCGGGTGGTTAGGCCTGCTTGAGTGGGCTCAGTAACAACTGTGACTAAGACTCGCCCTTCCCCTCGCGGGTTAGTTGGGGAGACCTGATACACTCGAGAAGCTGACTAATGAGAGTTTCAATAAGAGCTGAAGTTTACAATGGAAGTGCCGTCATGGAGCCCTGCGTAATTAATTGCTAAATGAATTGTGCAGGGAGACGTCCATGAGACCCCAGAGGAGGCGGAGCAGAGGTGGTTAAGGAAGCTCCGAGGGGCGAGAGGTGAGATTTGAGAGGGCCAGGATTAGGAAGGGAAGGGATTGGATACTGAGTGTTCAGATGTGGACCGGCACTCCTTTACACCAGGGACTGAATTTTGACAACTATGAGGCTTAGGTGCCCTCCTATCCCCTTTCTACTATGGGAAGACCTTTTACTGAAGAAGTTCTGGTGGAATGTCAGGCATATCCTGGATCTAAGTGCATCCAAGGTAATGACGTCTGTTTGTAACACTTCTTGTAGAATTTGTTGTCACTAGCAGATTGTACTCCCATTTGAGAACTAACTTCTCAAACATTCTTTTCCTTTGGCATCTATGATGCTAACCTAACCCTCCTGGTTTTCCTTCTACCTCTCTGACTGATGCTTCTCAGTTTATTTGTTTCCCCATATATTTAATCCTTGAATATTGTTATTTCTCACCCTTTACCCTAAAACCTGGGTGAGTGCATTCACTTCTTTAGCCTTCTCTTCTATTTGACCTTTTAATATTGGGGTTCCTTACCTTCTACCCTTAAGCCCTAGGTAGGCTCACTCACTTCCAGTTTCAGTTACTATTTACATGTCATTATGTCTCAAATGTATATCTCAGGTCCCGATTTCTGTTCTGAGAACCAGACTCTTATGTCCCATTGTCTACTGGACTTTTCCACTTGAGTATCCAATAAGCATCTCAAACTCAATCCATATGCTCTTAACCATACTCTTTCTCTCTCCTAACCTGATTCTCTTCTGTATTCTCCCTAATACAGGGCCCGTATCATCATTGAGATACTAGTCATCTTACACTCTTCAGTTTCCCACCCTAGAATTGATGTGAGGGGGATAGGGGTAGAGGTAGGCCAGCCAGTCTGAGGCCTGGTACAATCATCCAGTCATGAAGTATTGAATGCCTGGATGAGGATGCTTGTATTTCTCATGCCCAAACATGGGCCTTAGGAACCAGAGAATATACAAGGTCTGTCTGGGAGGTATCAGCCTTTGTCAATATAACAAGAATGGTTTGCATGACATTGATGTAACTTGGCAGCCAAGGAGAGTGGACTGTTATGTGCATGCGTAAACAATGACAACTTCACTGTACTAGTCATTGGGAGTCAGTGGGGTGCTAGACACCATTGAGTGAGCACGTGTACTGTACGGCCATCACATTCAAAATCATTGAGCAAGTAGAGCAACAGGTCTGCATCAGATTTTGCGTAAAGCTTGAACATTCCTCCATGGAAACTATTCGGATGATTCAGAAGGTTTTTGGGGACGATGCAATGACTGCAGTGCAAATAAAAGTGTGGCACAAATGCTTCAAAGACGGTTGAGAATCTGTTGAAAGTGATCCACATTCTGGAAGGCCTGCAATAAGCAGAACACCTGAGAATGTTGAACGTGTACGGGTTAGGTTAAGAGACACTTGGAGAGGCTGGGCGTGATGGCTCATGCCTGTCATCCTAGCTCTCTGGGAGGCTGAGGCGGGAGGATCGTTTGATGTCAGGAATTCGAGACCAGCCTGAGCAACAGCAAGACCCCATCTCTACTAAAAATAGAAAAATTAGCCGGGTGCGGTGGCACATGCCAGTAGTCCCAGCTACTTGGGAGGCTGAAGCAGGAGGATCCCTTGAGCCCAGGAGTTTGAGGTTGCTGTTAGCTAGGCTGACACCACGGCACTCTAGTCCGGGCAACAGAGTGAGACTCTGTCTCAAAAGAGAGAGATGCTGGGAGAACTGTGTGAGGTCCCAAGGTACCTACCTTGAAGGGGACTGAGGTGTCATTGTCTTATGTACAGTGTTTCTTGTATCTTCTTCAATAAATGTCTGTATTTTTCACATTATATGGCTGGATGCTTTCCGGACAGACCTCTCATAGTATATACTGTGTATTACATAAACTCTAAAATAGTTCACTGCTTCCCCAATCAGACTTGAAACTCCCCAAGGAGTACATGACTCCCTCTTCCTTCACAGTAAGGATTCCCTGAAGGTGGGGCTACATCTCCTTTAATATAAGAGAAGGGGACTAATCTAGATTACTGGGGTTTAGGAATGGGAGTCAGGGGGAGTGAGTGTTCTTTATTTCCTCCAAGCCTTGAGTCAGGTGGTACATCTTGGAATTAACCTCATTTTCCTTACAGGTGGCTGATGGCCTGGTCAAGGTGCAGGTGGCTTTGGGGAACATTGCCAGCAAGAGGGAAAGGGTAAAGATTCTGTTCAAAAAGAGTAAGTGCTTCCATGATGTGCCTGCCTGCACGACTTCCCATGCCTGTGCTTCCTGGAAACTGGCCTTGGCCCTTCAATTCATTAGGTCACTGGAATAGCCCTTTGGGGATAGAAAGAATGTGAAGACATTTCCCTACACCCAATTCAATTGGTGAATTTGGGTGTGCTTTTCTACCTTATGGATAAACGTGAGATTTATCCTAAGGTGAGTTATTACAGTGTCCTAAGTTATGGGATGAGAGCTCTGTCCGAAAGCTTTTAAAAAGGGTTTGAGATTTTTCAGGCAAGGCTAAGAGGCAGGAAAGAAATTAGGAACTGAGAGCCACAGCCTTTGTTCAGCCAGGGCTTTTTGTTATATCAGAGCTATTAACATGCTCAATAACTAGAAATCAGACAAAGTTCTGGCTTGCCTTGGGGGCAATGAGAGGAAAAGAGGCCACCTACTCTCGGTGAGGACAGGTCAGTGGGAATGTTGAGAGCCCTAGGCTAGTGGCAGCAATTGTGTTTCCAGCTCCGAAGCCTGCGGTCAACCAGCAGGTGAAGAGAGTGAAGAGACAGGGAAGTGGGGCAGTGGTCCCCAACCTTTTTGGCACCAGGGACAGTTTTCGTCGAAGACACTTTTTCCAGGGACCTGGGCGGGGGATGGTTTCAGGATGATTCAATCACATTACATGTATTGTGTACTTTATTTCTATTATTATTACATTGTAATATATAATGAAATAATTACACAACTCACCATAGGTTGGGGATCCTGGGATAGAGAACCTGGTAGAGGCCTGCTGATGGGGCACTGTGGGTGTCAGCTCCTCATTCAAGGCTCTCTCCAAGGTTGACCAAACATCCTTCATAAGACAAAGCTCTATTCCCCAACCCTATTAGTTCCATTTTCCTTCTCGCTACTTTTCCAGTTGAAGACCTGATCAAATACCTGGATC